GTGGTTCCATATTCCATGGGCCTTCATGTATATGAAATTAAATTTGTCTTTTGTCTTGCTAATCTTTCTTGTGTCAATTTATTATTACACTAGCCAAAAGCACCAAAAATTTCCCTTTCAGCTGTAAGGATACATTCTTAGAGAACCAGAGATAATTGTCTAGGAATGATTGGTGGTTACAACTTCTCTGGTCAGCCTGGGTCCTTATGGGTTGGTGGTGATGTTCCTTTACCTTTCCAGAGAGCATTTCTGCGAGGTCATACACACACCCACATCATATTCTCTAGGATAATTACCTAGTATATTGTAAACACCGCTTTCAGTGAACTGTATCATCTCAACCTCACATTTGTGTTCTTAGTATATTTTTTTCATTTTCCCACCAGTGTATTCCTACTACACTAGTAGCAAGGTAATACAGTTTGATCACATACATCACATATGCAGATTCTGTTGCATCAGGAACAATGGGCACTCCGTGCATGGACACAGCCACAGAATGAGCATGGCCAGCCTCACTAAATCAACTCACTGTCATTTTTCCCCTTCCTGGGAGACTTCATTGGTAATTCAAACATTCAAACATATGTATCAAATACAGATGATCTTACTGTGTCCATTTCCAAAATATTTTCATATATATATATACAAATAATTTTGGCACTCATCCTAGTCCAAAATATACACGTAACTTTTTTCTTTCTTTCAATAATAAAACGAGTCTTATTGATGAACTTGCTTCTCCTCATGGACTCATTTTCCATTTAGTAGAGTGATGAACTTTTAAAAAAAAATCAAATTGGATAATGTCCCATCTTATTTTAAATATTTGCTAAATCACTAGATCACTGATATACTTAAATTAAATCTAAATACTAGCATGGCCCATTAGGAATTGTGTCATTTGCCTCTCACCCCTCCCAGCCCTAGCTTTTGTCCCTACCCTTCTTGGTTATTGAACATATCCACAATCATCTTCTTTCAGTTTTCTGAGAACTTTTTTTCCTAATCTGGAAGTAAATCCACCTGTTAAACGTTTTCATAACATCCTCATATTGGACTACAAAATAGTGATTGATTGTCCTTATTTGTATGACTGTGGCTTAATGTTTTCCCTCCCCTAAATTCAATTAGAAATTTGAGGGCTCCAATGCCTACAGATTTGTTACATCCTATAGGGGTTTAATATATACCTATTGGATAATACATATATGACTCTTACTGCATCACTTTGTATAGAATTTTTACTTTAATAAAAACAGGTGAATTTATATTCTGATCTAATCTAAAAATAATTGTATTATACTAGGTGATTTTTTCAACCTGCAAAACTTAATGAAATATCTAAGTTTAGTCATATGTCTTGCATATTATTTTTTAGTTGTCGACGCTTCTTGATCTTTTCTTTTTAAAAAACCTATTTTTTCCACAAGACTGCTCGGTTTTCCTTACTCTCTTTTGTAGACTCATATTTTATGAATTGTACTTTTATTCCACAAATGGTTATCTATAAATTATTTTAAATTTTCATTTTTTAATGATGTTTAAAGGAATGAGTATATATAGATGTATCCTGGTATTTGCATGGTGGATAAAATTAGATTTTTAATATACAATTTCTTCTTTCCTCCTACCTCTGATACACATACTGCTTTTTTGCCTCATAGGGTAAAATTTGTATTTTCCAAATAATTATTTTTCTAAATAAGGGATCAAGTTAATCATAAGATACGTAATACTGGCTAATTCTGAAAAGTGATTATTGTATTCAGCAACCTGATAATTGTTTACTGGCAGTTTCTTTGGGTAGATTAGAAACAACTGCATTTTTTTTTAATTTTTTTAAGAAGTGGGGTACAGGCAAGAGTCATGGGGTGAGAAGACTCACCAGAGAGAGCAGGGAGCAGAACAGGCTGACGTACAAAAACGCACTGCAGAGGGGATCCGCAGGCGAGACAGGAGAGGTCTGCCACGCCATGTGGGTTGCTTCCCAGCTGGCTGGGGGATGGAGCTCTGCTGCAAAGGCCACAGAAAGCCTCACAGTGCTGCGCTCAACGCCCTGTGCCACCAGGGAGGCCCAGAAACAATTGCCTTTGTCATTCACCCTATTTGACTGTTTCCTTCCTACCTTCTTGCCCATGTCATGTCGCAGCTCCAATTATCTGCAGCCAGTAAAGAATCTCCAGAGGACAGTGTAGAAGATAAGTTCACCACTGAGTTGACTCCTATTTCAACATGATTATTTTAAAGCACTACCCTGAAATGGGTATCTATCCCCTTATAACAGAATACAACTCTCCTAAATTAGAAATTGCTGTGGCCCTAACTCTTCTTTACCAATCTAGTCTGTCTCCAAGGGACTCAGTCTCCAGGTGAATCTTACAATGAACCCTCTACACTGGGTCACTGCTATAGCTTCTTAAGTTCTGTGATTTGACCTTCATTAACTACCACATTCTCTACCCTTATGTTAGTTTCTCATATTAAGACATTACTTTTCTTGAGTGTTCTATGTGCAAAATTCCATATTACTCTTCCCAGAAGTACCATTATACCTATGTTTAATTAGAGACAATTCTCCATCTCCTTTACAGTCATATCATCTGCCCCATCATTTTGCAGGGGAAAAAAAAGGCAGAGTGTCAGTACATATATAGATTTTTATTTACAAAAACAAAAAAAAAGGTTTTCTCTGGGCAGCTCAGTAGAATTTGGAGGTTAGGAAGTAACAAAAGTTTAAATCATCAGCTCAAATAGCCAAGTGTAGGGTAAAGAAAATATCAGGCTTTTCTGCCCTTCCGCCATCAGGATAGATGATGGATCCTTGTCCTGAATGCATGCCTGATGGCGGGCACCTGGAATAGGGTGTGGGCATAGGTAGATGGGATTCAGCTGAGTTAAGACTGTGCTTTTAAGGGCGGCGTCACGGGGACGCAAGCAGCAGCAGTAGAAGCCGAAGCAGAAGCCGAAAGAGAAGCTGAGAAGCAGCAGAACGAACGCTAGAGAGCCCAGATAGAGTGAAGACTTGCTGGGGGCTGGGAGGCTGCACCCCTGCCTGCCATATGCCTGGTGAACCCCAAATAAAAAACCTGGAAAACTACTGAGGACTCTGACTCCTCCTTTACCCGGTCTGCATTGGATCAGAAAACCTGCCTTGTGCCCAGTCCGGCCTTTACACCAAGTGAAATGGATATCTCCACAGCTACAAAAAACCATATTAATATATTCAATTTTTTCTGAATTTTACTTTATTTTTCTGTGAAGCAACCTTGGTTTATGACATTATATATATTTCAGGTATACATCATTAAAAATCAGTATCTGTTATAAACCAACGACATATTCTTTATTCCAAGTCACATTCCCTCTGTTACCTGGAGCAAGGACTATTTTTCTCATCCCAGTTTCTTTGGAAGAATAGGGTCAATCTCTCCTGTTCTCCACAGAGATATAAAAATTGCCTGTTTCATATTTTGAAAGATGGTTTGCAACTATTTAAATAATGACTACATATTTGTTTTATTAAATCATTGGGAGAATATGGTGTGATTCAGTATTTGCACACAAAGACAGTCTAAAACTGAAAATAAAACTAAAAAAGTATTCTTTCAAATTATGGAGAAAAGTACCATACACAACCTCTGGTTTTTTTTGTTTGTTTTATTTTTAAGATTTATTTATTTATTTATACCAGCACTGGGTACAGTCAGAGCGTGGGAGGATGAGAGAATTCACCAGAGCCAGAGAGGGGCAGAATAGGCAGACCGACGAAATGTACTGCTGAGGGGAGCAGTGGGCGAGACAGGAGAGGTCTGCTGCGCCATGTGGGAACCTCGCTGGCGGCCGGGGATTGAACTGGTGCTGCAGAGGCTGCAGGCAGCTTCGCAGCCCAGCGCTCAACTGCTCCACCAGAGGAGGCCCAACCTCTATTATTTGAGTACTGCTACTCAAGAGCAGAACGGAAGAATGAGAAGACTAATGAGATGGAGGACTGCAGGTTTTCACTATAAACCTAAGTGTAACCTGCTTTAAAGGATGTACACATATTACCTTGCTAGGAGTTGAAATGAAACATCAGAATTCTATAAAAATAAAATTTGCTGAATTTCATAATTTATGAAATTTTACAATTAAGTTTTAAAACTGAACAATGAAATCAAGTGGGTTATAATTTTATGTATCAAGATATATTGAATTTAAAAAGCAAGCAAAACTATATAATTAAGGTGTAAATGTGAAGATTTATCCTTCAAACAATGTTGTATTCTAGGATGACGTGGAGATGTGTTTATTAATTTTCTTTAATCTGTAAAGGCTGATATTAGCAAACTACAGTAAATTTAAGATGCCATATAAATTATATTAGCATTTTCTCTAAAATTATATCATTTTGAACAATAAGTTACCCCACTTCAGTTTTTTCTCAATTTTTATTTAGAAAGTTCAGTAAAATGACATAGTATCACAGCTTAGAAATATCTTAATCCCACTATAATTTAACATTTAAAAAATCTAATAATTTTTGATTTTCAACAATGCAATTTATAAAAATAATTTTACATTTATAAAATGAATCATTATTTCACAATAAATTATTCATTGTTATTACCCGAAAAAAGTTTTGTGCTATATAAAAGCAATATATTCCTTATCAATATTTTGAAAATATGCTGAAAACATCAGCTTTCTTTTTCCAGCATTTTTGGCAGTTATGGATACAAAAATATTATATTACAAATTCCCTGACTACAGGTATTAAAACAATTTTTTAAGCAGTAATTTCTAAAACATAGCTTTCTTGTAAATATATGCAGATAAGTTAGAGGGTTAACCAAAAATGAATCTTATGTTTTATTTTTTAAAGTTTTAAAAAATATCTTTTAAGAGAATAAAACAAAAAATTAAAAAGAAGCCTACAAAAGATATTTGTATTTATAAAAATCAAAAATATTCTCATTCATGAAATAGAAACACTGGAGAACATTTTCAAAAATCAGAGTTGAAAAACATTCCTCTTCTCTCTCAAAGATACATTTTACAATTTCACAAAGGTGCTAGCTCTTGAAGTAATTTTATAAATTTAATTAAATCAATGCTAGCTTCTAAATAATCATTATTCCACTTTAAAAGTACTATTTCACTTTTAAAGACAATAAGTTAACAATATAAAATCATAATCTTAGAAATTTTAAAATGTCCTGGAAAAATCGTTTTAATCAGTCTCTTACTTGTGATACTATATTTTATATCACTGATAATTGCTCAAGTAGTTTTCCCCTTTTTTACCAGTTAACGTATGGGGGTGTGCAAGTGTATATGTGAGAGAGAAGGAATGGAGATTATGAGTTTATTGTTTCATGGGGTGACTCATCTTTGTTTTTAAATAAGTCCCAGATTCAAATGACATCAAATAATCTGTATTCCTCAGTCCAGAATTAGACATTCAGTGTATGCTGGGCTGCTGGAATTTTTTATTTAAATCTGCTAAATTAGTGCACTTGTTTTTGTTTTTATCAGAATTTACCTGGTGTAGCTCTCATTTTCTGTAATTTGTTTAAAACTTTTAAGAGGATAACTCATTGAAAGTACAAAAGGGGTCTCTTTCATTTGCAATAAATTTACACTCATTGTCTACATGTAAAAATGTACTACAAGTAGCATGATGGATTGTATTCAATCATCACTCATTTGCTTCTATATTAAGAAACCACAGTAAAAAGCTCACTTTTATCATTCCATACCAAAGATATATACTTCTAAGAATCAACCAGAGTTAGGCTTAAATATGACTTTCTACTCTTTCGGTTTATGAATGTTGGTTACATTACTAAAACCCTCTGAACTAAAGTTTCTTTATTTATATGAGAACAATAAAAACACCTCTCTTTAGGGGTTATTGTGAGGATTAACTGAGGCACATGTGTGTGATAAGATGGCTAATTTGTCTCCCACTATCAGTCACCCAACATTGTTTGGTTTTAGTTGGCACAATGCTTTTCACCTAAAGATACTCTTGCAACTTCCCTGGAAACTAGAGAGTGAACATGCCAAATTGTAGTAAATTAATGAGTGATTCTCATTGTTTTAGGAGAGAAAAGTAAACATCTCTCTTGATTGAGCCACTGTTTTAGGATTTCATTTTTACACTTTGGTAAAAACATATTTTACTTTAACATACATCTTCAAATAAGTCAGAATTTAAAGAATATCCAGTCATCATTGAAATGGTGATTTATGATTTTCTAAACTTCAGATAGACATTTAACTTGGGTCAAAAAGGATGTATCTTAGCCATAGGAGATCCATATGATAAGAATCCACAGGTGGTTCTTCTTCAAAGAAATATACCCAACAGCTTTATTTTTCTCATTTGAAGTTGAAAATTTATGAAATGTAGTTCAGTGTATATCAATCTGAGATTTCTGCTCTACTTTTTTCAGTCAAAAAAGAACACTTTAGTTCTATATCACATCACTATAAGGGGGTTATTTACAGATTTAAATTAATATTTAGACAATAGATGCAAGTAGTACATAAGACTGGACAGCTTCAAGCACAGTGCAAGGGAAGCTGGAAAAACAGACTACATAAACAGTGAACTCAGATACACATTGATTACAACTTAAGGCTTTAAACAATAGCAACAATAAACAAAATGAGCACATAAACAAAACAATAGGATACCATCTTCTAACAGCACCATAAAGAAGTCTTGGCTAAGAGTTTGCCAAAAGTACTATCCTGAGATACTTTGAGACCAAAGATTTTTCACATTAATCCAATGTCACCCAGAAGTGATCATAGTCTCACAATTGCTTTTGCTTGGAGAGAGACTGGTGGGAAATGACTGAAGCTTGATTTGCAGCTATTTTATACTGTTCTTGTCCAGAACCTTGTGGTGGGGAAGGAAGAGGGGTTTCAGGTGTTGCTGAAAAAGAATCAGAGAGTTATATGTTATACTACAAGCTATCCTATTAAGATTTGCATATTAACATGCATTATTATATCTGGGATATATTTTTTAGAAATTACATATATAGTTGTAATATATATATGTATATATATATATATATATATAGCTGTAATTTATATAAAACATTACTAGCTCATTGTCACACTCATGGAAATGCACTTCTACCCTAGTTCTCCAAAGAGAATTAAACTGGAATAGATTATGCTTAAAAATCTTAATAGTCATTTCAAGGTATTCTTTTCCTTTCTTAGTAGCATTTATGAACATTTTCTTTTTAACACAAGTGCTGGAAAAAGTTAATCAAAAGAATTAACAGAATGTAATGTTTTCGTAAATCATAGAAAACTATAATTTTTGCAGTAAAATTGCACATAAAATAAAATCTATTTAGTTTGAATTTCACTAACCCAAAGATATTAGATGACATATAAAATTAAGGTAAGGTGGTTTGCAAGTGTGTTGAAGTATATGTTGTAGTATAAAAAGCATCTGAAAAATAGTATTGCTTCAAAACTATCTATTCCAACTGAGTTTGTTTATATCCTCCCCATTAATGCCAGTAGCAGGTCTGAGTGATTGGAAACAAAAAAAAAAACATGATTTGAATATGGCAGGTTCTCAAATAATCTCATTTCCTTCCATGTTGTTTCCTTACAATGTGTGATGAAATTTAATGAAAGTATGTTTATCAAGGTCCAGAATAGATTATAGATTGTTGTGGTTACAGTTACAGTTGCAAAATCCTAATAACTTTAAGTGGGTCCTTTCATTGCCTATAATCATTTTGTCCCATTATAAACTTTTGCCATATTATAAAATAATCTAGGAGCTATTCTATAATTTTTAAAAGCTTGAGATATTTTAACATGCATTTATTATTTCACATATTTAACAGTACAAATAAAAATGATTGATGATCATACTGAGACATTGTAAACTTTCCAGAATTTTTTCCCTAACAATTTTTTGAAACTCTATACAAAAACAAGAACATTCCTTTGTTGCTTTAATATATTAATATTAACTTGATATATTTTTCAATACAGATTAGTAATTACTTAAAAACAACACACTAGATAAAGCTATTTGACAAAAGAATATTCTATTTGTTTTAAAAAAATATTTCTGAGTATTTAGGGTGAACCTAAAACTTCAGTGACCTGCTCTAAAAAAACCAAAGAAAATATACATGAACTTAGATTTTTGTGTATGTATGTATGTGTTCAATACTTTGCCTTTAATAATATATAAGCTATTCCAAATGAGTAGGAGCAGAACAAAAATGTTCATATGTATTATTTTGAAAAAGGAAAAATAAAAATGGAAGGTATGATGCTATGATTCTCAAAATATTAGGGTCAGCAAATATGCTTTCAAAGTACTGGAAATACTAGTAATTAAAAAAAGGATTCAATCACCACCAAAATTATTAAGGTATTCTTAATATGTCTTACTTTCTGAGTTTATGAATAATTGATTTCTAAGAGATATAAGTCTACAATCCTTTTGGCAAGGTATTCAGTTTGCCTCACTCTGCTTTTGACTACCTACTAAATAAAAATGGTAACATCTGCTTTGTAAGGATGGTCACAAATTACTGTCTTTCAAGTATGTTGAAAGAGGTTAAATGTGCCCTATTATTTCCATAATTTGCATATTTTCTAAAAAGTTCATTTCTTCTTTGGTCATATACACAAAAAATTTTGTAACTTGTGCACACAAATCTATGAAGCAGAAAGATTTAGCTACTCATATTTTCATTTTAGGGATCAAACTCATGTCTAAGGAGAACAAGTGACTTGTTGAATGTCACAATTTCCACAGTTGAGGCTTAGATATAAATTATACACAAATTTTGAAATTTCTGGGTACTAATAGATTCTTTGCACACATTCCACTTTTTTTTTCAGGTAATTAAGTTTAAGGAATACTATGGTTGAAACTAGTCCAGATACTTACAGATCTGATCTGTATGAACAAGGTTTGACATGGGACTTAAAAGGATAGTTTGTCCATTTAATGGATCTTGAGACAAATGTTGGTGCATTGGATGATGGAGATGGTTAGCATCATTGGAAGCACCTAAAGAATGTTAAAAAAAAAAAAAACACTTACATTAGCGATATATAATCAGGAACAGCACATTTACCTTGAAACAAATGTTTTGATTGACAGTTTGAATATTGCTATTCTTGCAAAGTGCTTTTTGGGAATTCAAAAATAAATTAATAGAACCATTGCCATATTAAGGACAATGTCAGCTTTTGTGTACACTGGCTAGATTAATGTTGTATCATATTATGTTGTATATTAATAAATGGACCTTGTGTGCCATTTCCTGGAATCATTAAGTTTGTTGCCTGTTATTAAGGCAATTCCAAGAAACACTTACTTCAAGTTTATAGTATTTGGGATCACCCTAATAGTATAAACAACTTTTAGTTCAGAAAGATGTCATTAGGAACACATTAAGCACCAGAAAACTAAAACTAAAATAAAATAAAGTGATTTTTGCAAGGAAATTTCATATAGATCAGAACACAAAATAAATGATTTCTTAACTTATTTCTGACATTTATTGAAGCAATGAATTTTTTTTTTCCTTCTCATTGTGTTGTGTCAATTATTTCAGGAGCAAAATGTTCACATTCAAGGCATTTGAGACATACATTTTTAGGTTATGTTGCAAATCTGCTATTCTTGAGATTCTAAAGGAGTCAAGGCATAGTAAATTTAAAAAATATAAACTATATTTGTATTTAGCATACTTGGAAAGACCTGAAATTGGATGTAAGAGGGACCACATGGAACAAAGATGGTGGAGGTGAGAATGTGGATTTGAATATGTCAAGTATTTTTGTTCCATCCAATGGGTTCTGAAAATTGAATTCATTAGGTCATGGACAAAAGATAAATGGTCCACATTATAAAGCAGGCAGTGTGATGCTAATTAATTAAATAGAATTTCTTCAATGTACTCACCACCCAGTAACATTTCCTGAAGTAGGTTGTCAATTTTAGCCATTCCAAACAGTTTAACAAATTGTATTTGCTCAATCATTTGCCAGGTGATGCTCTGTAGGGTGGGTAGGAGAAGCAGCAACTCTCCAAACCTCCCCCTGGAGTCATACTGTCTGTCGTTGATGTAGTCCTCTAAACTGAGCTGCACTTGGAACCTCATGTTCTTAATCTTTACTGGGTCACTTAGCCCTTTTGCATCTAAAAAAACAGAAAAGGATAGAAAGAGTAACTTAAGATTTAATCTTACTAGAATGTGAGCATAAATATTCTAATATTTAAAAGTAGCTTATAATAAATTATAATTGTAATGAAACTTTGAAAACAAACCTGGATCAAAAAATACAATTGCCTTCAAACAAGCATATTCATTGTCATCAATCTGAATTTCTTGAAATGGTCGAACCAATTCATCTAGAACTCGATTGGCCACACGGCTGATCTCAACTTCACAGCTATTGCGGTGAATAACGTAGTTGTTTCCTAGGAGGGAAAAATCAACCCACACACAATTTATTGTCAGATATTGTTTCAACGTTTTCACACTCATGTTTTAAATGGTCTTGCCTTGAAGGAATAGTAATAGTATTTCCTTTCGCATTAGTGTTAGTTATATTAGAAACATTTAAGAACATTTAAAGGATCAATAACATTGATAATAAGATCACATGCATTTTAACAACCCCTGTCCCGGGTGATAACACTAAAGTACAAACTAATAACAAGCTAATAATTGACATGGGAGAAACAAAATATAATGATTAGCTTTCCACTGTCAGTTATCTATTAGTGCATTACTCAGTGAGCACTAAACAAAATCTAAAGCAGCTTTCTTGCTCAGTGTGGATTAAAAATACCTTTCCTTTAATAGTCTAGGTTTATATAGGTGTAGCAAGTATTGACACAATTTTAATGAGGCTAAGTAGAAGAGGCTGATTTTTTTGTTCAATTAACAAAGGTATTCTCAGGAGTTGCTTCATTAAATAGTAAATCTTCTCTTCCCGAGTTTCTTAAAGTATAAATGGGAAGATCACTGTATGGGGGCTAAATGTAAGGGCTTTAAAAAATTGGAGAGCTAGACCACCTCATCCCTGAAGAAACTTCAAACTAATAAAGTCTTTGATTGTAAATATGATCAATATTTACTACACCTTCAAAATATTAGAAAATAGGAAGCTTATTATCTCTTAAAATAAGATACTTTGTTTTCTGGTTTCATGAAAATAGGAATCTTTTAAATTCATTCACAGTAGCAAAGACAATCTTTAGTGTCACATGTGAAAGTACTTAAAATATAGCCTTGCTCTTCTCATGAAAATTTAGCTTTCTGATAACTCAGAGTCAGATAATTTAGAATTATGCAGTAAAAACATTTTGTTTTCTAGGTATATTGTATTCAGATCTATAATCAGAACAGTCTGATTATTAAATATTTAATGAAATTTAATAGCATAGACTCTACAGTTACATTATGTTGTTGGAATCCTGGGTATTTACCCCTTACTTATTGACTTTGTTTTTTTTTTTATAATTTTTTTTTTATTTTTTTATAGAGGAATGTTTTATTTATTTATTTGTTTGTTTGTTTTTGTTTATACACGCACTGGGTACAGTCAGAAGCACGGGAGGGTGAGAGAATTCACCAGAGCCAGAGCAGGGAGCAGAGCAGGCAGAAGGACCCAAGTACACTGCTGAGGGGAGCAGCGGGCGGCAGGAGAGGTCTGCGTGCCTTGTGGGACCCTCCTCTGGTGGCCGGGGAGCAGCTGGGGATCAAACCAGCACCGCAGAGGCCTCGGGCAGCTTCGTAACCCAGCGCTCAACCGCTGCGCCACCAGGGAGGCCCATTTATTGGCTTTGAATGTGCTACTTTCTTCACCTGCACAATGGGTTGAAAGTAATAGTAGCTCTCCCTTAGGGTTATTATGGAGATTAAGTGACTTAATGTACCTAGACATGAAAAGCATTTAGAGCAACACATCTTACAGAGTAAGTCCTCAATAAATATTGACTGTTATTACATTATATTCAGCTTCTTTTGGGGGGGACAAAATATCTATCACATAGAATAAACAATCTAGTCATCATTTTACACAATCCACAGAGAGGTAGGGTACAAAGTCTTACAGGGATCTCAACTCTCATAATAAAAAATGTAAATTAAATTAGCAAATTAAGTAAGGTGGGGGAATTGGAGAACATAAAGCAAGCAAAACTTTTTCTTTTGTGTATTGAGAACACCATGACAGTGTCTGTAATGCTTGCTATATACAGGATGGAACTTGTATAAAGAAGAAACATGCATAATTTTCTCTTAAATTAAAAATATAAACTTACCCAGAAGCAAAACATCTTTATACACCATGGATCTCTTTGTAGCTCCAAGCAGTAAATGTTCTCCTGCATGAGCTCTTAACAATGCCACCTTAATGAAAAATTCCAAGTTTAGCAATTAATTATAAAATATAATGATTAAATAGATGGTATAAGTCTGATTCACTTAGTATTCTGTAAACTGGGACTTTTTTGTTTGTTTTAACAAACTATAACATTCATAGATGCTTGTCATCATTAAACCTTGTATTTTTTTCACTTTATAATGTGAACTGAGCTTTACTTTTCAAAATGTATAAAACAACTTAGTTCATTGACAACAGCAACAAAAGAAATGCAGAACTGTTAAGTACTTTGGAGTGAAAACAGACATCAAACCAGAGTTAAAATTCTAGCTTGGCCACTTATTACCTTTTTAAACTTGGGTAAGAAACCTATAATATTTGGGATTCATTTGCTTTCATCCATCAAATGGAAGTATTGATTTCAAAAAAATCTCAAAGTGCAGTCATGAGGATGAAATGAAAATATATGTAATACCCAAATTCTTATATGTGATAAAATGAAAAAAACAAAAGCACTAAGCTCTTAACTGTCCTTTTTCATATTTTCTACTGACTTCTGGGCATCACCATTAGGATGAATGGAAGCATCTTGAATTTAACATGTAAAAAATAACATTTCTCTAGCTAATGGAGCTAATGGCATCACAATTTTAAGTATTTATTTGTCTCAAAAACAAAAGATCACTTGGATTCTTCCTTAATTTACAGAAAATCCTAATGCTGTTTCTCTGCGGCTGCCACCCTAGCCCAAGTCTTCGTATTTCTTCATTTGATCTGACACAGCTTCCTCCAAAAAGCTAAAAGGTATCCTGCTTCCTTTCTGATTTCTCATCCCAAGTCTTTCTTGACAAGGCCAGGAATGTATATGTAAAATAACAACCACTTAATATCTTTACTCTAATGAAAATTCTTTGTTGGTTTCTTACTGTCCTTGGGATAAAATACAAATTCCTTAACCATAGCCTCACAAGTGATGAGTCAATATTTTGATGGCCATGCAAGTCTCTGTTTTATTCTTACAACATTCCTTGTTCAATTTTCTCCAGGCACTTTACTTCTGTTTGCCTTGGAATATGCTGTCTCTTTGTGCACAAAGCTTTCTTGGCCCCTTATCATTCTGTTCTCAAGATAAATCTTCTCTGATCCTCAATAAAAAGTATCCCAACAAGTTTATTCTCCAACAACTCACCCCATCTCATTTTATAAACCATGTCTCCACCTAAAATTAACTTACTCATGATCTGCATATTTTTTTATTGTCTGTCTCACCCAAATAGAATTCAATCTTCATGAGAATAGTGATACAATCTGTTTTTTTACTGCTAAATACTCAGTTTCTAAAACTGAATTATAGTTCTAATAAAATTTTTGATGAATTTTCTGAATGAATTTAATTGATGTATAGTTTTAAAAACTATGTTTCTAAGAACTAAAAATGGTGATTTTAAGTGAGTATTATAAAATTTATGCCACAGAGCTCCTAAGACCACTAAATAATGTCTAGTACAACTGAAATTTATATCCCCAGTGCCTTACCCATAATAGACAATCACCAATTCATACCTGTTATAATTATATAGCTAATATTAAAGAGTCACTTAGTAAATAAAAAGTACTTATGACCAGTTACTGGATTTCAATTTCCTAATTTATAAATCACTGTCTTTATACGTGTCAGCAACTTTTAAAAAGTAGGGATAATAAAAATATAAAACTGATAAATAACATAACCTTATATTGCTTGAGGTGAGACAAGCAGATTTTTAGCAATTTAGCATTATTCATTCTGAAATAACCTTCTGAGCCAAGCTATCTTTATGATATGTCAATAATCATGATTCATACCAGGAAGGCACTTACAGAATATTTTAAGAATGATTTCAAATCACAGAATTTTTTTCTATCACCAGGTGAATGCTCTCCTGGAAATATAACTGCTAAATTCCTGTGATTACTTTTTTCCTTGGTTGTGTAAATAATTTGCCCTACTTTGATTTTTAAACAATCATGCCCTTTTCCTTTGCTAGTCTTTGTTTTTGTGTACCAATGATAGAAAGCACTGATTAGAGGGTGTAAAAACAACATGCTCTGTATAATATATATCATGGTTTATTCAATGTGAGGGGACCACAAATTTTCAAGGTATTTGCATCTATAAAAAATTACATATTACTCAGATGGAAGAGTACTGAATGAATGCGAAACTAATAATCTAATCAGATTAGAAAATTAAAGTTCTTAACTATTAATTAAAATGTCTCAATGTACATATGACAAAGCAAGGAAATATATCTATTAGGAAATTATCATTAAATTTTAATTCTCCCCCATTTCTCTGTAGATTGCAGAGGGCAATTCTGAAGACTTTATTTTTTTGCCAGACCTATAATTTCTATATATAGTAAATGCTATAATAAAATTGACAACATGAAAGGCAAAATTTATATCTTAATTGTATAAAGTACCCCTCAAAAAACACCAAACATGACCTATGTGTTTCTGTCTAAGAGTCGTATCCTTTATTTATGAGTATTTTATATGATACTTTCAGATAACATGAAGGCACAGTAGTGTACCATCTGCCTTCCAGACCTTCACATTTTCAGTCTGTTGATAATAATAGTAGCTATTTGCTATCTTTCTCCCTTGAATAAGTTGTTACTTTTTTTTTTTTTAATTTTAAAAGGGAAGAACAGTGTCTTCTTCAACTCTCATTCAATCAATATATTTACGGGACACTTAAATTAGAAGTTAAACAATTCTATCTCTTGATAGAATTAGAAGCTGGCATGAAAGGGACAAGAAAATCAATGTTTTTCCAATGGAACATGGTGGATTATTGGGACACTGGTAGTGGGTATGGTGTGAAAGTATACACTTAAAGAGGTTTAAACTTATAACTCCCCCCCAAAGATGATAAATGATATAAGCCAGCTTTTCCTCCATAAACATAATTTGAAAAAAACATAACCTTTTCAAATATAGTAAATCTCTTACAAATATAATTACAAGACTACAAACATATTGTAAAGTTCAAAAACATATTTTGTAGCATTCAAAATTTTCATTCTTATACCTGATCATCCAGTGGTAACTCACAGAAGGCAGGAATATATTTAGCCCATTCCACCAAGACTAAGAGCTGCTGTTTCATAGATTCACAAACATCACCGATACTTGCAATTTTCTTAACATTTATGTCAGTGCTTGCACCAGGGCTTGAGGCAGAGATCTAGCATTAAGAAGAACACCATGTTAATTTACCATTTAAAATAACACATGACCAGTATCCCTCCTTATTTCTTTGACTCCAATAAGTAAATGTCATTTAAATGGTTACTGTTACTGTCATGGTATCTTGATCATTGAAACATTTTTTAAATTGAGCAATAAAATTGCTATCAGTACAAGTTAAATTAAAAGCATTCAGAGCATAGCACCATGCTCTGGGAGCATATCTTAGGTTTCTGGCCCAATTTGCAATACAAGTTAACATAGTTTTCAGAAGTTTTATGTTTCAAAATGACTGTACAAAGATATATGTAGCCATATGAAATATATTCTGTGATTTTATTTTAATTAAAAAGCAATATTTCCATTAAGTCCACATATAATTTGTCTAAGTTAATGGAGAAAACATTTTCAGTGAATACAGTTTACCAAACTGCAGAGAAAATAGAAGTCAGAACTATTTATGCTGCTACATTAAATAAAGGCCCATTAAAATAACACCAGGAAACCAATCTTTGTTTAGGTACCATTGAAGAAAATATATAATGATACATTTTCAAAACTAAATAAAAATTTAAACTTAGGTAGTGTTAAAATTTAGGTAGTGTTAAAAATTAGGTAGTGTTTAAATTTAGGTAGTGTTTAAATTTAGGTAGTGTTAAAAATTCCTTCCTGCTAAAAAGAAAAATATACTAGTCTAAAAAGTGCTTATAAATGTAATTTTTGAACCTGCGTGTGTGCATATCTTTCTTAATATAGTGGATGTATATTTCCTCACAGCTTCTCTTTAAGGCATTCTATAAATGCTTTATAGACCATCAAGTAATCTTAAAGTAACGATGATGATAATGGTGAGGTTAACCTCATCATATTAACCTTGTGTTATCAAAAATGAAAGTAGTTATACTGACTCATACTAGGTCTTGATTAACTAGTTAGCTATTTCACAATTTGCTTTATAATAGAGAACCATTATTAACATTTCTAATAGGAGCAATGCTAAAACAGTTTTCAAAGTATTTCTTTACTAGTGATTAACTTTTAATCTATATAACTAATGATCAACATTTTAACAACTAATTCCATTCCAGAAACTTAAATTTACAAAGCTCTCATTCTCCTGTGTTTTCTGAATTTTGGCATTTTCCTTAAATTCCTGTGTTCAAAGCAGATGCCAAAGTTTTTTCTTGAGCCCAGAAGTGATTTTCAAAGGAGGAAGTTCTGATCAGTCTCAACGAAACTACCCAAAAATCGAGGCAACTGATTTTATAGCTTCAACCAATAAACCAGATACTTCCACTCCCCAAAGCATTGTGCTACATTAGGTATTTCAACCAATTCTGTGAACTTATTTTAAAAATCTTAGAATAATATGCATTTTTCATTAAAAAAATAGGATCTTGTCCAAGAAAAGTCAAAATTAAACCAATAATCCAACAAATACTTTCAAAGTAAAACTCTTAAATTTGTGTAGGTGTGCTTTACGTTTCTAGTAAGTACATTTGAATGGAACTTAGATCGTTTTTAGCATTATGCCTAAATAGACATTCAGTTCTATCAAGTAAGGTTAGGTGCTGATGTGCTGCAGGTACCTGGCGAGACCGAACTTCAGCTTGTGTCAGTGTGTTGATGGAGGGGATGTTGCTGCCATCAAATGTACTTCTTCTGGTGCTTATTCTGTCACGTTCATTTTGCACAGCTTGGAGAGAAAAAAAAATCACAGTATTTATTGGTCAATTCTCTTCAATATGTGTCAGGACATATAGTTTGAAGTTAAAAACATTTGGTAAAAAGAAAAGATTTTTTCTAAAAGGACTTGGGGGGTAAGGAAAGGAAATATGACTGAAGATATTTTTTATTCTGTATCACTTTTAAAAGTAGAAAGAGACAGGCTTGTCACTAGAGCTCATAAAATATTGCCTTTTGGGACTTCATGATGGCATGCATGTTAGAAAGTGTTGGGTCAGCCAGTTCAGCCACACTGTATTTTTAATAGGATGGTTTTCTATTCTTTCCAAGTTAATAAAACCCTAAGATAACTAGAGGAAGAATATCGCCTGGGAGATTGACCAGGTCAAAGATAAGAGTGTATTCACAGACAGGAGATATGAGTCATAGATTTTGAAACTTCCATTTTCTTTTCCTTATAAAACACTAGCAAAAGTGGAAAGTCAATTTATTTTAGTTGAGGTGATTTTAAGATTGCAATCTTATGATCTCTTAGGAAACACTAACCTTGGGAGAGTTTACAAACATTTATAAAGCAAAAGTTGCAGGAGGTGGGGGTTTCTCCTAAGAAGGGGAACATTTTAATATTACCATTTTGAAAAGACAAAAAAACTTAAGTATTGTATAAAATATTTTCAAAGAGCTAGATTTACATGTTTCAGAAAAAACAAAAACAAAAATTAAGGTGTAGCCCAATTTTTTAATTGAAAAATCCTTTTCAAAATACAAGGAAGTATGAGAGGGGAAATGTCAACTTGTATATTTGTCATATAAGGAATAATACCAGTTAAAAGTGAAAACTGTATTTCAAAATATGGAAAGTAAAATTACTATCTGTTGACCAAGAAGAGTAAAAGAAAGGTTCATAGCCCTTAAATTATTTAGGTTAAAACTCTATTTTGTTCTGCTGGAAAGATAAGACATCAAGCTATCAGAATCTTTTTCTGCAATTATTCTTTTATTAAATAAATCTAAAAAATTCCCATGCCAACATCTACCATCTTCCCAAAACTGGCTATTAACTATCAATTCCATTAAGTTAGAAAATGCTGGACTTTTTTTTAATCTTTAGAATGAGTAATCTCTAAGTTGGAGTTTATCATTAATATTTTAAAATCACATTTACTGGTAGCTTATTCTCTTTTTTGGTTTTGCAGAAATTGTCATTGATTTCCAGACTAAACTGACTCAATTGGAAATGCATATGTGGAGATAAGAAATTAAAATGTAAGTTATGCTTTTGTGAATCTCATTTACATTATCAATCTTTAGAAAAATGTTAAAAGATATTTTGATCATTTATAATATCATTGCTATCATTTTTGACATAAAGCCATTTTTTATGTTTCCATCTAACTAATCTGGCTATTATGTTATTACTGTAAATAAAAGAAATATATCTACTTTGAAACCCAAAGCTATTTTCTAATCTACTTAGGAAAATTTAATGAACAGTAGAAAATACATTTTCACTAATTTTTAAAATAATATTAACTCAGAAATTTTAAAACTCTTAAAGGAAATATGGGATTGTGATTTACTTGCACTGAAATGAATGAAAACGATTGAGAAAGTAGGTAGTTCATTCCATAAACTAATGGATATACCATTAGAAATGTCATTTTGAAATGAAAAGGTGCTTCTTTAATTTTTTGAACTTTCTTTTGCTTTCTTTTTGAGCTAGCAAGCTGAAAAAAACTAACAAAATTCTTATATTTTTAAAATATTGCACCGCAAAGAAAAAGCTAGCAATTTTCTTTTTTTAATATTTTATTTTATATAATTCTTACATCATTTTTCATTTTTGTACAATGTATGCACTTTCATTTTGGTTATATTCCCCATACAATTGCACCCCCCTTATTTTGACCCTAGTCCTTCCTCTCCCCTTCCCCCCACCCTGCCCCATAGTGTGTCTCTGGTTTATAGTTGATTGTTGATTTTGATTATTACTGTGTATTAATTAGTAAAAGCTAGCAATTTTTAAGAAAGATTTAGTATTTACATTTAAGTATAATGACTTAACTTGCTTTTGTTATAGTTTGTGAGACACTTCTGAAAAAATCTTTGTGTATTATAGTCATAGGATATTGCAAAACTGATAAACTTCAAATCTTATAGCTGCTTTTCCCTGCCAAACATTTAAATGTGTTCAACACATTGGTTCTAGATGAACTATTTTTAGAATGTAGGATGACACATCGGATTATTTAATATGTTTAAAATGAAATCAATGCAATCTAAAATAGAGTACATGTTTTTTGTCACTGTCCCTCAACAAGATATAAATTCCCCGAGGGGAGTGGTTATTTTATCTTTTATGTTCACTTCTGAAATCTCAGCATTAAGAATAGTGTTTAGAAAGTAGCAGTGCTGAGCAAATATTTGCTAAGTGAATGAATGAAAGCATGAAAATTCAATGTTCAGTGAATACTTCTGTAATGCATAGAAAGATATTCAACTGTTACTGAGAATAAAAATATGTTAAATGCGTTTATAATTTCAAACAACCTATGAAGTGATTTTGCCATGCTTCTTTGAACAGATATTGGAATATTATTTTGACAATAATTTTGTTGCCAGGAATAATGGAGTGATGGAGAAAAGGGTATCTGGAATCAGAGAGCCATCAGACAAAAGATTGGCTCCACTACTTACTAGCTGGGGGTCAGTGTCCATGGGTAAATTCCTAGACTCAAGAGACCTTAAATTCTTTATTGAGAAAAGCTGAGGAAAATCAGAACTCTTGTGAAAAGGTTTTTGTGATTAAATGGGAATGTGTATGCAAAACACTTTCATCTATAATATTATCATTATTATATATTATTACCTTCTTTTTTCATTCCTGCTCGAAAACACTTTCGTAATCGACAATATCGACATTGATTTCTTTTGTCCTTGTCAACAACACATTGCCGACTGAACCTATAATATCAAACAAAGGTATATTAGTTTGCAGAAAACTATCATCAAAAACCAAATAAACAAATAGTCTTTAGTAAATATAGTCAGATTTGGCTCCATAGAAAGAATGCTTAAACAAACACGACTTTACAGTCTCCTGATCAGCATGTACATGGAAATAAAGCCACACGTCTCATGCAGTTTTCACAATAAAATAAAACTGAATGGTATTTCATGATCATTCCTAACAAGACCCATGAAAGCCAAACCTAGTTTAAAATTTTTGGCATATAAATTCTACTTAGTTATTACTAACTGACTTTAGTGTGATATAGAATAAATCAGAACTTCATTCCTCTGCACTTTCACGCTTTTCTTTTTAAATATTGTAGTAATTTTACCTCACATCCTGTTGAAGTTTCAATGCCAAATTACATCTTAAGATGCAGTTGAGAGCAGCATTGAGAGTAAAATCTGTGCATAATTAGATACCATTTCACACCAAGTACAGTGACTATCACCAGAAAAATAGTAATCCATGAAGATGAGGACATGGAAAAACTGGGACCTCCATATATTGCTGGTTGCAATACAAAATAATGCAGCTGCTTAGGACAAATTGGCAGTTTTTCAAGAAATTTAAGTTACAATTTAAAACAAGTTGGGCCTCTCCGGTGGCGCAGCGGTTGAGCGCTGGGTTGCGAGGCTGCCCGCAGCCTCTGCGGCGCCGGTTCGATCCCCGGCTGCTCCCCGGCCACCGGAGGGGGGTCCCACATGGCACGCAGACCTCTCCTGCCGCCCGCTGCTCCCCTCAGCAGTGTACTTGGGTCCTTCTGCCTGCTCTGCTCCCCGCTCTGGCTCTGGTGAATTCTCTCACCCTCCCGCGCTTCTGACTGTACCCAGTGCTTGTATAAATAAATACATAAATCTAAAATATATATATATTAAAAAAATAATAAAAATAAAACAAGTTAAAAATAAATGTTAAAAGTAGAGTTTTGGAGAGGAAAAGGCAGCAATTCTTTTCCTAGATTTCTACCCAAGAGAAATGAAAACATATGTGCACCAAAAACTTGCACACATTGCCCATAGCAACATCATTCATAATAGCCAAAAAAATGTGGAAAACCTAAATGCCTATCAACTGATGGACACATAACAAACAACATGTGGTATACCCACACAGTGAATATTATTATTTGACAATGAATAGGAGTGAAGTCTGATACATACTACAACATGGATGAGCCTTGAGAGCACTATTCTAAATGAAATAAATCACACACAAAAGGCCACATATTAAACAATTTCATTTATATTAACTATGCAGAAGAGGCAAATCTATAGAAACAGAAAGTAGATTAGTAGTTATCTAACACTGTTGAGGAGAATTAGGGGGAAATGAGAGTGACTGATAATAGGCAGATTTCTTTACAGGGTGGTGAAAATGCTCTACATTGATTGTAGTGATGGTTACACAACTCTGTGACTATACTAAAAAAGCCGAACTATAAATTAAAAAAAAAATACAGTCTCTGGAGTGAGACTTGAACTTGAGATCCAGGTCTGCCATTCACTTTCCATAGAATAAACTTGGGAAGGCTATTTAACATCCTGAGTTAATTTGCAGTTGTAAACGAAGGATTAGGATTTGTTGTAAAGGTTGTGTGAATATACTTTAGAGACTTGAGGGCAAATATTAATCATATAGTAAATATTGACATTTCTTCCAAAGTCTGGCAGAAATTTACCCATATGTATTGGAATGTCCCATGTTATTTGTAATTGATTATTAATGACAATCAAAAATATAAAAAAATTCATTTGAAGAATATGGATGACCACTTTAAAGGAATGACAAATTCCTACAATAGATGAATTGAGCTAAAAGAGAGATCTGTTCTTGAGGTGAGGGGAAAAAGAGCTGTTCAGTTGGGAATGCATGGCTGAGAAGGATGAGAAGAGACTAGACTATTAATAAATACATCATTAGAGTAATATAAAAACTGAATAAATATATCATTAAATATCTACTCTGTACATTATCCCATTGTGGGGGTTAAATAGAAATATTACCTATCTCTCCATTCAAGGCAATCACAACCTACCTGATAGAGTTCACATATATGTTTACAAATAGCCATAATAAAAAACAATGTGAGAAGTATTGAAACAGCAATTTAAAATGCTTAGGAGGAAAATTTCAACTTCAATGTGATGGAGCAGAGTAGAATTAAAATTTATAGGTCTAAGGAAATGGATAACTTTGAGACCCGCGAAGCTTGCATCAATATAATATTTATGTTTCAAATGGATTATCATAAAATTTGCCTAACACCAAAACATGTAAGGAAGACTAGGTTGGCAGCAGCATTTGTGATGTTGGGTGGTGGAATGAGTTAAATTGTACATGTTGTTCAAATATTTTTTTTAAACTTTCCAAAAGTTCTATGGAAACACTCCTTTCGCATACAGGAAAAGAGTGTATATGTTCAAAACTTGTGTTGATAGTTTCAATTCTTCAACTGTTGAATTTAGTTCTTTGGGTCACTTTTTTCATATTATGTATTCAACTTCAAATTGAATACAGGATTTAAAGAGGTTCTTTTTACACATTATTTTGCATTTATTTTAGTTGATAATCTTAGAAGTACTCAATATTTAATGTAATCACAGAGCAAAAACTTTTCATTAAGGCTACCTAATTTATTCTTATTTCTGAGTTTTGATATAAGTTAAAGGAAGAGTCATCTAAATACTCTTTTTTTGATTATCGCGAAGTTTTTAACATGGATGATTTACATTGAGTTAAACAACTTGAAGTTTTTCTGGAAAAATTTCTAGAGAACACTAGTTAGATATTTGGGCAGTTATATATTAATTTTTCCCACATTCCTAGAAATCAAATGACATCGTATTGTGAAAGTTATCTTATTCTTAAATGTCCCATGTTGCTCCCCAAACATGACAATGTTTCATATACTTTTCATCCACAAAGCAAACAAGTATTTTTTGCTAAATTCAGTCATTTTTAACAGTCCCGTTTAGCATGGATGCAATCTGCCTTCAAGAAATGCCATTCGGAACCCTAATGAAATGAAACTGGATTATAATAATGACTACATATTATTTTAAAAGCAGATTACTAGAAACACGTGGCACAAACAACATATAAATTTTAGACAAAACATTTAAATTCAATAGCAAAAATGTGCATGAGAACTATGTTTAAAATTTTAGGACTGAAAGCTAAATTTAATTCTTAACATCAACAAGCTACCAAATCATCTACACTTTTATAATCTTGTTTTAAAAGACATAGGGTGTAATGACATTAAAATGAAAAACAATATCTAGAAAATTACACACATTTTGAAACTATTTAAGGATTTAAATAACAACAAACATAAGAAAAAACAAATACCAAATTTCAGACAGTACTTACTTTTGAGAAAGTGGGAAGAAAGGAATAGAATAGGTGTGCATTAGAGGCTTCAACTCTATTTGTCTAACATGGTAGCTAAATATGTGGCTTTTTTATATATGTTGTATAAGTCTGAAATGTTTCATACAAAACAATCAGCTCTGTGAATGCATCCTGCATATACACTCGCTCATCTTCACTCTAAATGTAGCTGATAGAAATTTTTTTAGTTATAGAAATATGAAAGTGCTGAATTTTATTCCCTTAGTATTTGCATGCCATTTTGAAAAAGAACTCTACAGGTAATTTTCCTAAAAGAAGTAGTTCAAGTACCTGCAGGAATAAACGTGACTCTTGCGTATGCTACGTCTGAAGAAGCCCTTGCACCCATCACAGCTTGACGCCCCATAGTGCTTTCCAGTTGCTCTGTCCCCACATATAGCACATAGACAGTTGACGCTGTTGTCTGTGGTATTCATATTTGTGGTTTCTGGGGCAGAATTATCTGTTTAAAAAAAAAAAGAATAGAGTTCAAGTTACTAATGAGCATTTTTTTTTAAGTTTTTTTTTTTAAGTTTTTTCATAGGCTCAAAATAGTCCGTTTCTTGGTTTCTTGGAAGTTGCATACAATTGTCCTTTTAACCACTGACTTGCCTGCCAATCTTCATTCCACTTCCCTTCTTATATTCCTGACGATTAAAAGTTGGGAAACTATAGGACTCAAAATCCCATGTATTCTCATTTTTTTTTTAAAGATTGATTGATTGATTTATACAAGCACTGGGTACAGTCAGAAGCTCAGGAGGGTGAGAGAATTCACCAGAGCCAGAGGGGAGAGCAGAGCAGGCAGACTGATGAAGTACACTGTGGAGGGGAGCAGTGGGTGGCGGGGGAGTGGGGGGGGCGGTGGGGTGGGTGTCTGCACGCCATGTGGGACCCTCAACCGGAGGCCCGCCGGGGATCAACCTGCGCTGCATCAAACCGGCGCTACAGAGGCTGAGAGCAGCTTCGCAACCCAGCGCTCAGGGCCACCGGGGAGGCCCTTAAGTATTCTCTTTTCCAAAGGAAGTTCATGCAGTTCCATGATATTAAATGTCATATATATATATAGTGAAATATCCCCAGATTTTATCTCGAGCACTGTCTCCCATGGCTATCAGTTTGAAATGTTCAAATACTTAATTAACAACTTCACTTCTAAGTTTAATGGGAATTGAAAGTTAAAACGATTTCCAGCATCATGAATCAACTTGAGGTGATTGTGTTAAGTGAAATAAGTGATAAAGACAAACACCATATGATTTAATTCATGTAAAGAATTTAAAGAAACAATACAAACACACAAAAAAAGTTTATATATATAACTTTTGTTTTATACATATTATATATATATATATATATATATATATATATATATATCAAGGTGGGAGGCTATACTCCTGAAACTTTTGTTATATATATATATATATTATATATATATATATATATATATATATATATATTTCAAGGTGGGAGGCTATACTCCTGAAACTTTTGTACTTTTGGAAACCAATGGTACCTCAATTTAAAAAAAAAATGTATCAAAAACAGAACTCTTTTGGTTTTCCCCAAGTAACTTGCTATTCCTTCAGTCTCCCCTGAGTCAATTAATGGTACCATCCAGTACCTAAAGTCACTATTCTAGAAGTCTTCATAGAATTCTCTCCATTACTCATATTCAATCCAACAGTAAGGCCATATTTAAAATACATAAGAAATGCAAAAAATATATAGATGCATGTCTGTATTTTATACACATAAAATCCACAAGTTTTCTTCCTTTCAGTATGGGCCACCCTTATATAATCAGTCAAAAACATTCCCCTGGATTGCAATTTCCCCCCTATTGTCATGGATTGCTATCTAATTATCTAATTCAGCCCTTACTCCCCTACTGCTTGTTATCCCAAATTTCTCTTGGCATAAGAAGTCCTCATCAATTCACCCATCTATGTCCAAGCATTAGACAACACCTCCATGTTATCAGGGACTATAAAACCCTGAGGGTTAAAGACCCTTCCACCTCTGTGATTCCATTTTTCTGACACTATCTCATTCTGGTTACTATTCTTCAGCAAAGTTGCCCTTTTTCCTCCTTGAAGCAAATTTCCATTTTAGACGCTTTACACTTGCTGTTCCTTTTGCCTGGAAAGAAATTTCCTATTCAAGAATTTCTTCAATCAGGTTTCTGCTCAAATCTCAGAGTTTCTGTGGAACATTCTCTGAAGTTACTTCTTATCTAGTATGTAAGTAGAACCTAGAATCCTATTTAGTTTTTTTTTTTTTTTAAAGATTTCCTTCCTTCCTTCCTCCACCCGCCCCCCTTCCTTCCTTCTTCAAGCACTGGGTACAGTCAGAGGCGCGGGAGGGTGAGAGAATTCACCAGAGCCAGAGCGGGGAGCAGAGCAGGCAGAAGGAACGAGGTACACTGCTGAGGGGAGCAGCGGGCGGCAGGAGAGGTCTGCGCGCCATGTGGGACCCTCCTCCTGTGGCCGGGGAGCAGCCGGGGATCGAACCGGCGCTGCAGAGGCCTCGGGCAGCTTCGCAACCCAGCGCTCAACCGCTGTGCCACCGGGGAGGCCCCTATTTAGTTTTTTTTTTAATTACAACATCAGTAGCTAAAATTGTATAATGTATTGGTCTGTTCATTTATTATCAATTTTTGCCCATCGAATATAAACTCTATGATGTCCGAGCATTTATCTATCTTATTCACCTCTCTGTCTTCCAGTTATTACAACTGTGCCTGGCATTAAGTGGGCCTCTAAAACAAAGAATGAAAATAATAGGCTTTAGAATATTCACCCAGATAATGTATTTAAATATTATTAAATAGGTCAATATTTTTGCTCACATCTTTCATCTGAATGTACTCAAAAGATATTGAATATATAAGGCAATATATAAATACATATGATTTAGTATAAACCTGTATAATAATAATATAATACCAATTCATTTTATGCCTCCAATATTACAAAAGACAAATTAATGGTTGTCATATCCTAGTTACATTCTGTGACTATATGTATATAATTTTTTTTTTACCTTACTAATACTTCTGAATAGACAGATATTGTCATATGTTATTTCATAAAGTTGAAAAAACTAAGAGAATTAGGTTAACTATGTGACATTGAATTTAAATAATTATTTTTCTTTGGTAATATAACCAAAATAGATACCAGAAATATAGCAGTTTAAAAGTGTTAAGGGGCCTCCCTGGTGGCGCAAGGGGTTGGGGAACAACCTATGAAGCTATTCGCAGCCACTGCAGCACGGGTTCGATCCCTGGCCAGGAAGCTGCTCACATGGCACAGAAGACCTCTCCTGTCTCGTCCGCTGCACCCCTCAGCAGTGTGTTTCAGTCAATCTGCCTGTTCTGCTCCCCGCTCTGTCTCTGGTGAGTCCTCTCACCCCCAAACTCTGGTTTGTGCCCTGGTTCTTGTGTGCATAAATATAAAAATCTTTAAAAAAAAATACATTAAAGTGTTAAGGACTGCTGTATTCTGAGAGATAAAATGTAAATACAAAAAAAAATAAACTCTTGCTTCAATTGTAATGCCATACATATATAATATTAACTTTATTATAAGAAACCAACTTAGGTAACATACTAGAAAGTCATTTCTTTCAGTAAATATTTATGGAACTTCTATTCCTGATATTTAGTAACCTGTAGCCTTTTAAAATAATCATGATCCTATTGAGATAAACACTCCATTAAATATCTTTTATCAAGTCCAAACATGGGAACCAGAATATGACTTCTTACAAGTTGCATTGGTTCATTTTAACTGTGTTAAAATTTCAGAATTCAACTTCTGACAATTAAAAATAATTTCACCACTAATAAATTATTTTTTGTTGTAAATTTAACAAAACAGCAGTCATATGTACTATAAATGTACTATAAAACATTAAGATATCCCGAGTAGAAAGATGATCTCAATCTTGAGCTAAGCACACACGCACAACATCATCACCACCACAAAACACACACATTCAAAAGCATAAATAATTACTAGATGTTAGAATTTCAAGCAACTATGATTCTCTTGTATAAAAATTTTACTTGAAATCTAAAATCAAAGTCAATAGAAAACTGTATTACATAAAGGCACGAACACTAAACAATTTGTGCCTTATTTCAAGTTAAAATGTTACACTAGATAAATAACAAGAGTTGTGTGAAGCTAAACATTAGCTTTTCAAGTGAGGTTATAATACAAACTTCTATTTACTTTCATATTTGGATTCAGTGCAAAACCCCAACTGTAATTGTGAATGCAGTTTCATAGCAGCAGCAATTGAGAACTAGAATAACAAAAGGAGGAGGCAACCGAAAGCTTTCCAGCATTCTAAGGGAACTTTGCAACTTTAAATATTGCATAGAAAATATACTTTACAGTCAATCTGCCAATATTACTTGTTACTATGGTTTACAGTAGATAAAATAACTGCTGAAACTACTCTTTTACCTAGCTGGCCTATGACAGAATTCTGAGGTGACTTTATTACACAAACTAGACTTTTCTTATCTTAAACATAAAATAGCCACACAATTATTTATTTAAGTTTTGTGATAAAGTGCAAAAACTCACAACTGTGGCCTTAAAAAGCAACCCTTGAATTTCCCACAATAAAACAGAGAGCTACCACCTGGGAAACTCAGTTTTACATTTCCTATTATACTTACTTTACTTTTATCTATAAGCAGATGAGAACTCACCATTTGAATTATAGAGAATCTGCATGGTTTCAAACTCCAGAGTTGTGTAAGTTGGATCCAAAACTTCACTGTAATTTGCCATATCCATGTCCAATATCGGTTCCGATACCCTCATCATTGATTTAGAAACACACATAAAATTGGCTCCACAGGCCCAGAATGTGTAGTGGCTGTTGGCTTTCAGTCTGTGAGTGATAATCCAAACCTAACTGAGTGACTTAAGCACTGGAGCGGGAGGAGCTGTAAAACTGTAAACTCTTTCAGCAGTACATTCTGCTTATTTCAATTTTTTTTTTTTTTTATGGCACACGAAAGCAATTCCTTGTGATAATCTTGGAATGCTTCATGGAATCACCTTATCTGAAGTGCTTAGTGGACTAACATGATTTCCTAAAATGATTTCCAGTAGACAATAAATGATGTCATTAAGAGGTTTAAAAATAGAAAAGAGAATCTGTACAGTTTTAAGCTGAAATTATGACATGATTGCATACCACATATTCTAGTAGATGAAACTTAAATTGCATACCACATATTCTAGTCAATGAAAGTTATTTTACTGGTATAAATTTATTAAAACTTAACATAAGCATGGAGCAATTTTAAGTTTTTGTTTTTTAACCCAAACAATTAAGCTAACTTTGTTTTGTCAGGATGAGCAAATTTGGAATTTGGAATTACAGAGATGTGTGGTATATTCCACTAGCACATGAACTTAATATGGGATTTGACATATTTCCTTTAACTATCAATGTATGGGTCTATGTTCCTAGCATGTTTGTAAACTCCCTAAAGGCAGCGACACTATAGTTGATAGTATATAGTAGACATTCAACAAAAAATTGTTTTAAAAATAAAGTTCACTTTACTGATTCCTGATACCTGCTACATCTTAGGCATTAAATTGAAATAAAAGTATTTCTAATGTGTGGATCTACACATTCCTATCATCAACCTACTATCTAACATTATAAGCACACTATATTTTTTTGTATATATGTCATAAAGAGCATTTAGAATTTGGAGAATATTTAGAAGTGTATTCAATGAGTATACCTTACTTCTAAATATATGTTTACTGATTTTATCTTCCAAGAAAGAATCCCAATCATATTTATATTATAAGCTCAGAATTTTGTTTTCTTCATTTATTAAAGATTACTTCAAAGTAATATTTCTTAGTCAATTTCTTAATATCATGAATATTATACCTTAGAATTACTGTATATTTCATCTGGAAAAGGTAGTCTCTTAAACTTCAAGCTATGTGAAGAATTATGAAGAAAATAGCAGTCAGATTCACCAAATAAAACAGTGATTATTGGATTAGTACTCTTGCTTTCACATTCTGTAGCATTCTTAATTGTGAGGATAATATCAAGAGTTTGAACTTCAGTGGCCTCCCTGGTGGCACAGGGGGTTAAGACGCAACCTATGAAGCTGTCCGCAACCTCTGCAGCATGAGTTCAATCTCCAGCTGGCCAGGGAGCAACCCACATGGCGCAGCAGACCTCTCCTGTCTCGCCCGCTGCTCCCCTCAACAGTGTATTTCGGCCTGTCTGCCTGTTCTGTTCTCCACTCTGTGTCTCTGGTGAATCCTCTCACCCCCCACATCTCTGGCCTGTACCCCAGTTCTTGCATGCATAAATAAATAAATCTTTGAAAAAAAAAAAAAGAGTTTGAACTTCAGGGACTGGTTTTCTTTAATGAAGGCTAACTGTAGCTATTCAGTTTTCAAAGAAGCAGATGACAAACAAATCCTGTGGTTTTAATTTGGATGATGTGGTTCTCATCTGTGATAACACAGACACGTTTCCTGTGTGAACCAAAGGAGTGAAGTGTTCATAACCCACAGAATTTCTCATTTATTAACTAATGCTGAGGGATGTCACTAATGGGAATGTCCCAACACAAGGAGAAGCAAATGAAAAGGTAGACAAACATTTGTTTATAGGACTGCAAAACACTAACAGAAATATGGAGATAGTTCAAGAGAGCAAGGCTGTCACAGTTTTCTCATTCTGCTTCATCCTGTGCCTGTGGTTGGCATCACTAGACCATGGTATCCCCCTAATGAGGTTATAAATTCATCTCAGCATAGATCATGAAGTAGCCACAAGCAATTAATCAGAGCAGGCTTTTTAAAGTGAGCCGTTTCCCATCCAGGTTATTGTAAATTGTTTTCTTCATTTTATAGAGTAAAAACTTGAGAATTTCCAGGAGATATAGTAGATCCAAATAACAGGCATATCTCCTCAAGTAGGGAGTTTTTCTTCCTAATAATATTTAGACACAGAAACACCCAAAGACTACAGTTAGTTTTGGGCTAGCAAAAGGAATATTCTCTTTATATTCTCAAAACACTTTCAAAATACAGTGGATGTCATCTTTTCTTAAATTCTTAGATGGGTAATTTTCTGAGCTGCTTAAGGAAAAAAATAGCTAAAACAGAGAACCAGAAAAGTGATATATCCATCTTTAATAGCTTATTTGCTTAAAAATGTAAAATTACCAATGATTTGCTGCATGACTAAAACCTTTAGTTTGATAAAGAATTCGCTATTTGGGAATCTGTATAATTTTTGTTTATATAAATCCCATATACTGACTTTGATTTCTAGTATTTTTTTTTAAGATTTATTTATTTATTTATACAAGCACTGGGTACAGTCAAAAGCACGGGATGGTGAGAGAATTCACCAGAGCCAGAGCAGGGAACAGAACAGGCAGACTGACGAAAAACACTCTGCTGAGGGGAGCAGCAGGCTTGGCAGAAGAGGTCTATTGCTCCATGTGGGATTATCGCAGCCGGGGATTGAACCGGCGCTGCAGAGGCTGTGGGCAGCTTCACAGCCCAGTGCTCAACCGCTGCGCCACCAGGGAGGCCCAACTTCCTTTGGTTTTTATAGGTAAAAAATATCTGTAACAGTCATGGTGCATTATACTATGATACCTTAAATTATGAAATGAAACAATAAAACAAACAGCATTAACATTCTAGGTAACAATACAAGTGACTTTTTGTAAGTATATAAAGTTGGTGAAATGGTTTGGGGCATTGCAGCCTAGTCACAATAGCCAAAATGGAAATAACATTAATGCCTATCAATAGAGGAATGTTAAAAAAAACATGATTTACAAAGGAATCTATTCAGTCTGAAAAGTGAATGAATGACTGATACATACTACAACATGGATGAACCTTGAAAACACTGTACTAAGTAAAACAAGCCAATCATGAAAAGACAAATGGTTCTACAAATATGAAGAATCTGAAGTAGTAAAACTCATACATTCAAAGAGAGGAATGGTATTTGTGAGGGCCCAGGAAGTAGAGAAAATGGGCAATTATTCAAAAGACAGAAAATTAAGCAAGATGTATAAGTTACAGAGATCTCCCATACAACACTGTGCTAGTCAACATAACTTAAAATTGTTAAGATAGTAGTTCTCATATTGTGTTCTTATGAAAATACAATTAATTCATGAAGAGCTGACCTACATCATGGAAAAATGATCAATGCAAAGTAAAAGAATCAATGTCATTTAAGCATTTAAACAACAACAACAAAAAAAAAGCACCTGCTACTGAGAGAAGTTATCTTACCTGAAAATTAATTAATATGCTCCATAAAAGAAGTTGAGAAACTGGGCTAATCCATGGAGTTGGTTATGTGGCAACTAGAGTTTCTCTTGTATAGATCTTAAGTTAAGATAACTTTGCTTATTAATTATATTTCCCCTTATAACCAATCTCTCTTCTTTACTTCAAAAGTCAATTAAACTAAATCTAGAATATGTTTATTGGTTTATTTGTTTTAAATGGAATATGAGATGATATGAGGAGGATTAAAAACGTAAAAAAAGAGGAGTAAAATGAAAAATCTGCAGAGAAACTATTTTAGTCATGATTACTTTTGAAATGTCTGCTAGATATCATGATTAAAGTATCACACACTTTAATATTTTTGCCCACCAGCTGTTTTGTGTTTCCCATTCATTAGTGATGTGGAATTTTCATAATTTAGTAGATTGTATTTTTTGAAAAATCCACAGCATAATTGAACATGATAAAAAATACATAATTTAACTATCCTGCAGATAGCTAAATCTTAGATACATAAAAGTTATGGTGAGGGCCTCCCTGGTGGCACAAGGGGTTGAGACACAACCTATGAAGCTATCTGCAGCCACTGAAGCAACAGTTCGATCCCCACCAGGGAGCTACCCACATGATGCAGCAGACCTCTTCTGTCTCGCCTGCTGCTCCCCTCAGCAGTGTATTTCAATCAATCTGCTTGTTCTGTTCCCCACTCTGTCTCTGGTGAATCCTCTCACTCCCTGTACCTCTGGCCTGTACCCCAGTTCTTGTAGGCATAAATAAATAAATCTTTAAAAAAAGTTATGGTGATAGTTTATATATTATCATATTAGAATTTAGTTATATCAGGAAAGGACAGAAAATTAAGCAGGATGTATAAGTTATATAGAGATCTACCATACAACACTGTGCCAGTAAACATAACTTAAGATAGTTTTTTGTTTTGTTTTGTTTTGTTTTGTTTTGTTTTGTTTTAAGATTCACTCATTCATACATACAAGAACTGGGGTATAGGCCAGAGTTGTGCGGGGGTGAGAGGATTCGGCAGAGACAGTGTGGGGAACAGAACAGGCAAGTTGACTGAAATACACTGCTGAGGGGAGCAGCATGTGAGTCAGGAGAGGTCTGCTGCAATATGTGGGCAGCTCCCTGGCTGGGGATAGAACTTGTCCTGCAGTGGCTACGGATAGCTCCATAGACTGCTTCTTAACCCCTGTGCCACCAGGGAGGCCCATAACTTAAAATTGTTAAGAAAGTAGTTGTCATATTGTCTTCTTATGAGATCCTTGGGATCCTACCCAAGGAGATTTTCATTATTGCTTCAACAAGTACTTTTTATGAGCAAGTTCATTAATGCTACATTAGATTAAAACTGTAAGTATTGATAGTTATAAGAAAAGCTATATTAATGTATGCCTAAATAATAGGAACACTTATCCTTAAATAATGGGACTTATGCTACTAAACCCTACATTCAGCATAAATCTATGAGTACTTTTATTTTTAAAGGTATAACTGGGAAAAACATCAGATATACATGTTAATTCTTAAGACAGTAATTTGTAATTAGCTGCATACATTTCTAAAGTAGA